ACTTCTACAAAACTCTTTCTGTTGGAATACACAGATCAATCTATGTTTTCTCTTGAAGTATAAGGTAACTGCATATATCATAGTACTATAGTCATATGAACTTGAGAAATTTTATTCATTTATTTTTATGTATATGGTGTTTTGACTGCATGTGTATAGGCGGACCACATATATGCAATGTCTGCAAAAGCTAGAAGAGGGTGTTGGATACTGTGGAACTAGAGTTACTGATGGCTGTCAGTCATCATGTGGGTGCTGGGAACTGAACCCAGGTCTTCTGCAAGCCAGTGCTCTTAACTGATGAGCCATCTTGCCAGCACCATCCCTTCCTGAGACGTTCTTAACAAATGTTTCTTATGATACAAAAATTAAGGCTGGAGAGGTGGCTTAGTAGTTAAAGAGCACGCACTACTCTTGCAGAGGACCCCAAGTTGGTTACTAACACCCACGAGGCAGTTCACAACTGCCCCATAAAAACTCCTCTTATGTGCCACAATGCAGTTGTTAATTTCCCAAATTTACACTGACATAACTACTTCTTGTCAAATGATCTAATAATGTTCTTCATATTCATTTTTCTCTGTCAGTAGAAGATCCAGTCTAGGAAGAGGTAGGTACTAACTTTTGATCATTTCTTTAAAACTCTTAACATTTCTACTGCCTTTACTAGTCTCTCATAACATTGTCAATTCCTTCTTTTGGTCTTTTGGAGACAGGGTTTCTCTGTAGCCCCAGCAGGCCTGGAACTCGCTATGTAGACCAGGTTGGCTTTGGACTCACAGAGATCCACCTGCCTCTGCCTCTTGTCTTCTAATGAGTATGTTTCTAGTGTATTGTGTGTGGAAGGTTAAATCCTGCCTTGGATACATACGTATACAATGTCTGCAATTCTGAGACTTTCATAATAAAGGATTGTATAACTGGGAAAAACTGGCTAAATTTCCAAGAGCTTCTGTCAATTTTACCTTAGGTTTCTAACATGTCTTGCTTTACGTATTTGGACTATGTTACATCTCATGCTTATGAGGGCAATACTAAATTAAATTCTGCCTTATATTAAATGCCTTTCATCATCATAAAATTATCCAATTTTGCAATGCAATGTTTGAAATTCTTCTTTGTCTGCTCTTAGTACTGTAATTCGTGTTTTACTTTCAAAATCATTCTTTAACTATTTTTTTTTAACTATCAGAAGAAAAGTTACCTACCATGAGTCAGGCATGGTTGGCACATGCTTGTAGTCTCAGCACTTGAAATAAGGCAGAAGGATTGCCATAAGTCTGAGGCTAGCCTATACTACACAGTGAGTCCCTCTATCAAAAAACTGAAGTAGAACTAGGGCAGAACAGGCAAGAGTGCCTGTTGTGCAAGCACAAGGACCTGAGTTCAGATCCCAGTACCCATGTAAAAATTCAGGTGTGGTTGTGCAAATCTGGAATTCCAGAGCTGTGTAGGTGGAAACAGGTAGATCACAGAGGCTTGCTTGCTGCCAGCCTAGCTCCACATTGAGAGACCCTGTTTTCAAGGGAGCAAAGCAGAAAGTGAGAGCAGAATACTCAATATGAAGCTGTACACATATGCACATATGAAGCTGAAGCATACACATATGCACATAAACCAACACAGAGAAAAAAAAAGAGAAATGGGGAGGCAGGATTAAAAAGAGGAATGGGAGGGTAGGGCAGAGGAGGAGGTGGGTGGTGGGAGCAATAACACTAAGAATGTTTGAAAATGCAACATGGAAATCTACTATTTTATAAGATTCGTGTGTGCATGTGTGTACCAGAAAAATTTAATTGGAGTTATCCTACACAGGGGATAATGCTCCTTCCAGAAGCTACAGGTGGTCAAATAAAAAGCCCAGTTCCAAGTGTGGGATATTTCCCCTTGAGTTTTTAGTCAGAAGTATCCTGGAGAACCCCCCAACCCCCTGCCAATAAAACAGGGTATGTTGCAATCACTCTTGGTTGTCTATCAAAACTTCAGGGTAAGACCCTATTAATTAATGAATATACCATACACACTGGTCATAGGACATGGGGAAATCATGTTGGTATTGACCAGGAAGCTTCCACCCTGCTGGCTAGCTTTCCTAGTACTAGAAGGTGCTATGCAGGCTTCTGGGGGGAAAATGTCATCATCAGCCTGCCTTACCCAGCTACAATCCTCAAGTTACAATTATGATGGGCACAACGAGATAGGCCGATGGGTCTAAGCATGAGTGTTATGGGGATAAACAATGATTTTATGATGGGATTTAAGGTTCACAACACAGGAGGAAACACATGCCTGATATTATAAATCTGGTCAAGAATTAATGGTTGGGGTTCATTCATAGGACCCAGGGGTGAACCTACCACTATTACTTTGCTAACTGGACACAGTATCAAACAGCCCTCTAAATTTGTACTCTATACCCATAGAATAGTGCAGCTCTCAGACCTTATTAGAGAAGTTTCTTTTGCAGTGGACAGCAGTTTGTAACATGGAAACTCACAAGAGTTCAAAGTGCAGAGAATTAGTGTCGGTGGAGTGCTCAACCACAAATGGTACATCTACATCACACCACCTCCTGGGGGCTCAGGTACCATCTTGCAAGAGGGGGCAGAAAGACTGTAAGAATCAGTGATCTGGGAGGGTTAGGGTAAAACAGTGTCTTCTAGACATAACCTCTGCACTCATGAACTCACAGCAGCCGTGGTTGTCTGTACAAGATCAAGCCAGTCAACATTCTAACATGGAGTCCAGCAAGAGGTTCATGAGTCCCTACTCCACCTGAGAAAGTATAGTTGGTTGATGGCTGTTGGAGTAGGGTGTGGCTCCTGGTAGGTCATGCTCCAGTAGATGGCCCCACACCCATCAGTATATGAGTAGCATAAACTGGACTAGTTGGGAGTTATTTAAAAAATAAAAAGAGGGGGCTGGAGAAATTATTCAGCAGTTAAGAGCACTGGCTGCTCTTGCAGCGACCAGGGTTCAATTCCCAGCACCCAGATGGTGGCTAAAAACTGTCTGTAAGTCCAGTTCCAGGGGAATCCAATGTCTTCTTCTGACTCCACCGGCATTGCACAGCACAGGTGCACTTACACACATGCAGGCAATATACTCATACACATTAAATAAAAATAAAGTATTACAAAAATAAAAATAAAAAGGACAAAGTCTGGAGGTATGGGGCATGAGATCGGGAAAAATTTAAGAAGAGAGGTGGGGGATGGACAAGCCCAAATTATATTGTATGCATGTATGAAATTCTCAAAGAATTAAAATATTAAAGAACAAAATAGCTATCATATAATTTGGCCTTTTGGAAACATGAGTTTATTACACTATTGTCATTGTCTCTTTACAGATGTTTTAGTTTTGTTTGGTGCTTATATTGTACATTTTTCTTTGTTAAGTATAATGTCTTCTACAATCAACTAATGATATTTTTAAGTTACTTAGACATTTCCTTTATAATCAATGATCATTGATGGAATTTTTATTCCAGGACTTTTTAAAAAAATATTTATTATTTTTATTTTATGTGTATGAGTGTATTGCCTGTATGTGTTTAAGTACACCCATGTCATGCAATGCCCGCGGAGGTCAGAAGAAGGCATCGGATTCCCCGCTGAGCCATCTCCCAGCCCTCCATGACTTCTTTACTCTTCTACTTATAACTGGCACCACCTCTTAACTAAATGGTACATATCTTTAATTAATGTTGTTCAACAAGGCATTATAAATTTAATATTCAGGTGTATTCTTTTAGTTGGTCTTCCATATGAAAATAATTAAACTGTATTACATAAAAGTAAAACAAAGTTTCTACTTAAAAACCATAGACTTTTTTCAAACTGTTACTTTCTGTAAAAGGCTGAACATAAACAAGTACAGCGTGGTTTTCAATTCCTCATATGTAATCATTATAAAAGTCACATGTCTACCTGCTTATAGGAATTAAGATTTATGAAGGCAGGGTCATTTGGCATACTTATTTTCTTTATTCGTATTTGCCTGAAATAAAATTAATTCTTCTAATTTGTACACAAAAGACTTTCTTCAACATAGGAAAGCATTTTCTGTGATATTTGAAAACTAACATTTTTTTTTTTTTTTGTCTTTTTGAGACAGGGTCTCCTTGTAGTCCCAGCTGTCCTAGAACTATGTACACCAGGCTGGCCTCGAACTCACAGAGATCCACCTGCCTCTGCCTCCCAAGTGCTGGGATTAAAGGCGTGCACCACCACGCCTGGCTGAAAACTAACATAAAAAAAAATCTCTAAGTATGCCAAACATTTTCTAAAATATTATTTTAAGGAACTGGAGGTTATTTAGCTTAGTAGCAGAGCAGCAAGCTCAAGGTCTTGGGTTCAGTCCTCAGCTAAATAAAGTTTTTTTTTTGGTCTCTCTTTTTAAAAAGCTATGTTTATAAAGAAATTGTTCTTGCCTTGCAACAACTTAAGGGCTCAACTACCCAGTTCACAAAAGTAAAAAATGTAAAGATGACTTATCAATGCCAGGAAAGGACACGAAGCATATTGTTAGTAGCTCCATAATACACACAGAAGGAAAAGACAGCAGCAGCAGTGTTGATAGGTGAGAGGTTCTGCAGTAAGACTGAATGCAATAAAGGAATAGTTCAGCAACTTAAGAGGAGAAATATAATGGAAATAAGGTAATGGTGCTAGACCCCATTCACACAAGTATGTATAGCACTCATAGCAATTGCACTATGCATAGACAACTAGATAAGCATTATGCTAATGACAGCTGGCTAGCATTATTTTAAGGTACTCATTTTACATATTGCACACTAATGTCAAATGTTCTATAAAACATGTCAAACAGCTGAATACAGGTTATCTAAAACGAACCTGTACCTGGGCTTGTTTCTACATACCTATAATTCCAGCACTCAAGAGGCTGGGGCAGGAAGACGGCAAGTTTGACACCAACCTGGGCTACACAGTGCAATCCTGTCTCAAAACATTCAGAGCAACAACAAAACAAACCTGTGTAACTTTCATCATCACCAGACAAAGGCACCTCTCTTTTCAGCAGCAACTCCAACTCCTCTGTTTCTGCTACATCCACTGGACGCTCTCCATGTTTATTAGCTTGAAATGGATTCCCACCATGACGAAGTAACAGTTTCACTATCTGCAACATTAAACAGTATGAAGATTTAGCCCCTTCACCTTACCATTTCAAATCATTCTCTTGGTAACTAGTGTCCTTTTGAACATTTGATCTAGTCTGCATTCGTTACTTACAGAATATACTCTGAATCATTATTATTCTCCACTAGTTCCATTTTCATTAAACTGTACCCCATATAATGACCTCATATACTATAAAGAAATTCCCTCCTTAAAATTTAAATGGGGGAAGGGGGAAGAGCTGGAGAGATGGTTTGGTAGTTAAGAATACATACTGCTCTTAAAGAGGACAGAGTTTGAGTTCAGACCCCACCGTCACCAGTAACTAGCTCCAGGCAATCAGACACCCAGTTCTGGAATCCACTGGCACCTGCAGTTATGTGCATACACCCATACTCAGACACACACAATTATGCAATTATTTACATAACTGCAAACAGTAACGAAAATAAATCTTAAAAAAAAAAAAATGAAACCTGGCTATTTCGGCACTGAAATCTGATGATTTTTCTTCCTGTTTCATCATAAAGTCAGCAAATATTTACTATCTTTTTGAAAATTAAAAATGTTATTTTTCGCCGGGCATGGTGGTGCACACCTGTAGTCCCAGCACTTGGGAGGCAGAGGTAGGCGGATCTCTGTGAGTTCAAGGCCAGCCTGATCTACATAATGAGTTCCAGGACAGCTAGGGTTACAGAGACCCTGTCTCAGAAAAAACCAAAAAAAAAGTTATTTCTCCTTCCTTCACATATCTTAAGTGCCTAGGAAACAGTCTTGCATATCCATCTGAAGTGGTACTCCACACAGTGTTTAGAGGCAAAGCAACAATGGAGAAACTGACCAAACATCTGGATTTCTCAGTTCTCAGGATATTGTTTCACTGATTTATATTAATTTGTGAATAACCAGAAATGTCATCTCTAAAAAAACCATTCATAGTTCAAAATTTATTTTACATTATTTATTGTGTATGTGCACTCTTGTGCATGCACTATGGTGTATGTGTGGAGGTCAAAGGACAACTTGTACACAATAACAAACTCTCTAGTCTCTTAAAGTGCAGCTTTCTATTTAAGGTCAACATCACTACCAGTGCTCTTAACCTTACTTTCTTCTCCATCTCTCAGGAACTGTAATTTTTCTTATCACACTTAGATTTACTTGGGTGAAAGTTAGAGGACTAATGAAACCAATGGAAACCTCGATGCCCTTCATTTCTATTGGCATCTTACAAATCCCTCAATCTAATTTCATATTCATTGCTTTGAAATTTTCCTCTTTTCTGTACAAAATTATATAAACTTTAGGATCCACAAGACCAAGACCCACTTCCTCAGTCAGTTGCCAATTCGTTTCTAATTCTTAGCATTTTCAGTTGGCCTGGAACTCACTATGTAGACCAGCCTGGCCTTGATCTCAGAGATCCACCTGCCTCTGCCTCCCAAGTGCTGGGATTAAAGGCATGCAGCACCATGCCTGGCTCTTCTAGATTTTTAATTCTCTTTTGCATTGGCTTTTATCTAAAAGACAACACTTTTATCTAAAAGACGAATTTTCAGTTCATACCTCTTTTGCCTCTACAAAATAATGGCAGCCAAGAAATGTGGTTGCTGGGCTGGGGATGGATTAAGGGCAAAAAGGCTTTAATTCCTCTTCTCTAGCTAAATGTTTTTCTTCATAGTCAAGTTCCTGAAAAAGAAGTCTGCCCTTGTGTCACTGATGTTTCTTTTTTTAACTCTTCAACCTCCAACTATGTTTCATGTCCCATGAAGTGGCTTTTCTAAGTCTGTAGAGAGCTAAAGCAATGTTTCCTTATAGCTGTCCTTGACTGGTGTTTTCATGTTCTAGTATGTATCACTATTAATATATTTTATTACATTTTTATTCATTTTGCCTGGGCGCATGTGTGTATGTGTGTGCACATGTGTTTGTGCTGTGTTGCATGTGGAGGGCAGAAGACAACTTGCAGAAGTCTGTTCTATCCATCATGTGGATTCTGAGATTGAACTCGGGTTGTGTGAGGCTTAGCAATAAGCACCTTTACCACTGAGCTGTCTTGCTGGCTCATGTAACACCTTTAGAGAGCTCTGACTATCTGAATGTGATACTTACGCAATTCATTAACTACTTTCATTCTCTATTGGCCCTACTTTTTTTTTTTTTTTTTTGGGTTTTTTGAGACAGGGTCTCCCTGTAGCCCCAGCTGTCCTGGAACTTACTATGTAGACCAGGCTGGCCTTGAACTCACAGAGATCCGCCTGCCCCTGCCTCCCAAGTGCTAGGATTAAAGACATGCGCCATCATGCCCAGCCGCCCTACTTTTTTGAGCCCCAAATCCAAGTATTCAAATACTCATTGTAATATACCCAATTGAATATATGTATATTTTAACTTTTTGAATATGAGACAGGGCTTCTTATATAGTTACGGTAGGAGTGTAAGATGTCATCCTCCTGCCTCCACTTCCTAAGTGTTGGGATTACAGGTGTGTTACCACTACACCTGGCAATTATGTGTGCTTTAAAACAACAGCATGGGGCTGGAGAGATGGATCAGCAGTTAAGAGCACTCCAAATTCAACTTTTATCTCAGTTAAAATAAACATTTTTTAAAACGTAAGACGTATAACCCTATAAAATTTTTACTTAAGTAAAATATGCTTCAATCACACTACATCTAGATATCCAGCAGAAGTCTTTAAATAACATTTTTGACAAATTGCTTAATCAATTACTCATTAAATGAATTATTTTATGAAAAACTGCTAGATCTAATTAAGTATGAATTAGAAGTCAGAAAGTAGAAAAAAAAGAAAACAAAATATAGATATGTTGTCAGACAATGAATGAAATAATATCATATGACTAAGAAGAGCGCTAAATTACTCCAGGTTGTTTTGTATTTTGAAAATACACAGCAATGATGACTTCTACTGTACTCACGTCTCTGTGTCCACTGCTAGCAGAATCATGGAGAGGGGTGTCATCATCTAACCCTTGTGTGTTAACATCTGCTCCAGCTGCTATAAGTATTTTAGCAACATCATAATATCCAACATTACAAGCTTCATGCAATGGTGTCCAACCTAAAGTGAGAATATTAATTTAACAAAAATACATCTGTCACTTGAATTTTTTTCATAATTAAAAACTTACATGTTCACAAGAAAAATATTAGGAAACATTACAAAACACAAATGCAGCACCCTACCATCCAGATTTAAATTTTTTTTTTGTCTTTTTGAGACAGGGTCTCCCTGTAGCCCCAGCTGTCCTGGAACTCACTATGTAGACCAGGCTGGCCTTGAACTCACAGAGATCCGCCTGCCTCTGCCTCCCGAGCGCTGGGACTTAAGGCATATACCACCATGCCCGGCTCCAGATCTAATAATTTTTTTTTTTTTTTGGTTTTTGAGACAGGGTCTCCCTGTAGCCCCAGCTGTCCTAGAACTCACTATGTGGAACAGGCTGGCCTTGAACTCAGAGATCCACCTGCCTCTGGCTCCTGAGTGCTGGGATTAAAGGCGTGTGCCACCACACCTGGCTTAGATCTAATCATTTTTAAAGTCTCAGGTAACTCCTACGAGCTGTCCCCCATATTTACAAAACTCGGATGGAGGTTTAACTTGCTTCTACTCTCTGAGGTGAGAATGTTTCCTTGGGTGGTTGTGCTTTTCTACAGCATACTACTGTTTTGGTTTTCTCCTGAGTAGCTCTCACTCAGTACCCAGCCTGATCTCAAATTCACTATGTATCATTTCAAACTCATGATGCTCCTAGCTCATACTTCTAGGTGCTGGGATTACAGGTGGGCACCACCATGCCTTCATAGAACACAGCATTTAAGTGACTGAATAAACTGTAATGTATGTTAACAAGTTCTTTCTACTGGGGATTTGGTTTCTTTCTTTTTTTTTTTTTTTTGTCTTTTTGAGACAGGGTCTCCCTGTAGCCCCAGCTATCCTGGAACTTACTATGTAGACCTGGCTGGCCTTGAACTCACAGAGATCCGCCTGCCTCTGCCTCCCAAGTGCTGGGACTATAGGCGTGGGCCACCACACCCGAAACAATGCTGCAACACACATCTCTAAAATCCAATTGCAATGCATACATATTTTAAAAATTATAACCAGTGTTTCCATTTTAGTTCTTGAGCATTAGTCTTGAATTACTATTCTCACCTGCAAAATCTTTCACATTCACATTTGCCCCTAAACTTATTAATTCTTTGACTTGTTTCACATCTCCTCGAATAGCTGCCATGTGTAAAGGAGTTTCACCACGTTCATTTCTTTTATTAATTTTATCCTTTTGTCGAGATGAAGAAGTGGGAGTTTTCTTTTGGGCTGGTGTTGTTTGTGATGGATGACTTGGTGTAGAATCTGTAAGAAAGATGACAGTGAACAAAAGCTCTAAACCATTTTGTATACTTAAATAACTCTTACAGATGTGTCAATTTCTTTTTTTTTAATTTTATTTATTATTTTTATTTTATGTGTATGAGTATATTGCCTACATGTAGATAGGTTCACCCATGTTGTGCAATGCCAGCGGAGGTCAGAAGAGGGTGTTGGATCCCCTGGAACTGGAGTTACAAATGGTTGTTAGCTGCTGTGTGGGTGCTGGGAATCTAACTTGGGTCCTCTGCAAGACCAATCAGTGCTCTTAACCACTGAGCCATCTCTCAGCTCGCCAATTTCTTAGAACACAGAGTATATCTTAGAACACAGAGTATACCTACTCCTATAACCCTCAAATTGAGTTGGATATGTCAGTGATTTCAAACAACTAGTCAAAGAAGATCTTCCTTAGGGATTATCAAATAATAAGCCAATGTAAGAAAATGGTATTTTTTTTCCTGTCAATTCATAAAATTGGTTTAAAATGAAAACAGAATGGGGCTGAAGAAATGGCTCAGAGGTTAAGAGCACTGACTACTCTTGTAGGGGACCTGGGTTCAATTCTTAGCACCACATAGTGCCTAACAACTGTCCTTAACTCCAGTTCTAGGGGATCTGACAGCCTCTTCTGATCTTCGTGAGCACTGAATAACTTAATAAATTACAATTAGCTCTTTTCTGATATTATACACAAATTCAACTCTGATTATTTTACTATGAAAACTAAGCCAAAGATCTGTAAAAGGCAAGGGCAATTAGAAAAAGGTTTATCAAAATTATGCTTTGCTATAATTCACATCTTTTTCTTTTTAGGTTTATTTTTTCTGAGTGCTGGGAACCAAATTCTGGTCCTTTATAAGAGCAGTATATGCTTCTAACCACTGAGCAATCTGTCTAGCCAATTCACATCTTTAAAAATTTTTTATTCTGTATGTATGAGTGTTTTGCCTGCACGTGTGTGAGTACACAAGTGTTGTGCAAAGCACGCAGAAGCTAGAAGAGGGTGTCAGATCCCCAATGGATGGTTGTTAGCAACCACAGTGCTGGGAATTGAAACCAGGTCCTCTGGAAAAGAAGCCAGTGCTCTTAACCATTTGGTCATCCCTCCAGCCCCCTGGTTAACATCTTTTGATGCTTGTTTAGTTTCTACATCAAAAATATGAATGTTAAACTAGATGAAACCCAAAGTTCCCCCACTCAATTTCAGAACTGATAGGGGAAAAATGGTTTCTTAAGCCATTAATTCTGAAAATTCACAAGTCTTTAAAAGAAATATCAGCTCTAAGAAAAGTTTAAAAATATGCCTTCTGGACTTTCAAGTATACTGCCTCAGCAAGAATTTTTTTGTTTGTTTGTTTGCTGGGGTAGGGGGTGTCTTTTTAAGACAGGGTCTCCTTCTAGCCCCAGCTGGCCTGGAATTCACTAGGCCTCTATCTCACAGAGATCTGCCTGCCTCTGCCTCCTAAGCACTGGGATTAAAAGCGTGCACCACCATGCCCGGCTTTCAACTTTATAATCTTGATTGTCAAATTATTTAAGAAAAATAGTTTGTTGACTTTCTTTAAAACTAAAGGATCTGCTGGGTGTGGTGGTGCATGCCTATACTCCCAGCAGGCAGAGGCAGGCGGATCTCTGTGAGTTCAAGGCCAGCCTGGTCTATATAGTGAGTTCCAGGACAGCTGGGGGCTTACAGGGAGACCAAAATAAATAAATAAATAAATAAATAAATAAACAAAACAAAACAAAACAAAAGGATCTACTGTGGAAGAGCTGATCTTCCTAAAACAAGGAACTCTAGATAGGCTGACTAGATTCAGCAGATGAACAAGCACTGGAGAACGGCTGGAGGCGCCGACAATACAGTGGACAGTAACAGAGATTACAGAGTATATGGGCTCCAGTGGGTGGGGGGAGACTATGGGAGGGTGTCATTTGGGATGTGGGTATATAGATGAGTAAGATTGTTTGATGTTGTGGAACACTGCTGTTAAGGTTGGTTCCTTTCTCAGCAGGAGCTTCCTGCCTGACTTACCTGGAAAGTGCCGCCAAGCACGGATGCTTGGCCTCATTTAAAACATGACCTTTGGCATAGTTACCTGGAGTAGAAACTACCCCTAGGTTTTTTCTATATGATAATTAGGCATTGCCCAGTAGTTGGATGATAGGAGCCTACTGCCACATGTAAATAAAGCATACTATGAGCACCTATCAGCTGAAGCATTGGCTATTGCCTCCACACTGTATTTTCCCTAATCCCCAATGAATAAATGGAGCTGTTTCACTGAATCTGGAGCTGTCTGTATCACTGAACCTGCCTCCCTGGAAGGGCTTTCTTCCGTCAGTGCTCACTGGCTGTCCTGACCCCGTTCGTCGCTTCTGCTCCCTTTGTCCTCATGGGCCGGTGGCCAACGACCCACGAGGAAAGGGAGAGACCCTACAGTTTGGGATGTTCTGTATGAAATACACACAAAAAAAATCAACAATTTTAAAAAATGAGTTATATCTGAGGAAGAAGCATAAAAATTTGCTCCATGTTAATTAGTAGAGATGAAACACATTACCACTGAAATCTACCCAATGATTTTATATCCATGCTCAGGTGGATTTCAGAAAGTGACTGTGACTAGTAATAATCAAATACATAGAGATTAGAGATGCATCTGCAAACATCTAAGTGTTAGCAGCATTAAAATGAGTTTTTCTGTATATAACAGTATATTTTAAAATGAAATGGAGATTTTTTAAAGGTTAAAACCTCATTCAGTTTTATGTCTTATAGGGTTTACATTGAGTTCAATATTGTATAACTGTATTAATTCAACTGTGAACCTAAAAATTTACAGTCAATACTGAAAGAGATGCATTTTGCTCTGGAAATTGAGTATGTTATACTGTAATGAAATGCTTCTTCTAATCACATGTTTATTAAATAAATAATTAAAAAAAAACTAAAGATCTATCAAATGGATAAAACAACCCTAAACTCTAAGCACATCTATATGATGCCTAACACTTCGTTAGCTGACTAGCAACTATACTTAAATGCAAAGAATCAGGTATAGATTAATATTACAGTATAATCATATTTATACTGGAAAAATTCAACCCACAACAAAAGATATCTCTGAGCTGGACATGGTGGTACAGGCCTGCAGAACAAGCCACTCAGAAGGTTGACACAGGACAATTTCAAATTCAAGGCCTGGTTGGGTTATGTAGTTCAAGGTCAGCCTGAGCAATTTAGTGAGACTGTCTCAAAATAAAAAAGTAAAAATAAGGCTGAGGTTTTAGCTCAGTAGTTGACTACCCCAACTAGCATGCATGGGCAAAACAAAAGAAGACATATTTTATCTATATGTTTATGCCCAGAAAATCCCTGAAGTATATACAGATAAGCAACTCTCAACAGTGACTGTTTATGGGGGCAGAGGCATAGGAAATGAGCAATTTTTAGAGAAATGTTTAACATATTAGCACTGTAATACACCTTTTGGCCCAATCATTCCCAAGTTAGTGATAGAAACAGTGAGAACTGGGTCAATGAGATGTTTGGCAGATTAAGGTACTTGCCACCAAGCCTGATGACCTGACTTCAATCTCTAGGTTCCCATGTGGTAGGAGGAGAAAAACGACTCCCACAAGTTGTCTTCTGACCTCCACATATGTGCACAATGGTGGAGGTGGGCAACACACACAGACACACAAATAATAAGCAAAGAAATAAATGTTAAAATTCTATTAAAAAGGGCTGGAAAGATGGCTCAGTGGTTAAGAGCACTGGTTGTTCTTGCAGGGGACCTGAGTTCAGTTTCCAGCACCCACGTGGCAGCTAACAACTGTCAATAACTAGTTCCAGGGGCTCTAACATCCCTTCTGGCTCCCGTGGCCATGGCACAAAATAGTGCACTTATTACATATATGCAAGCAAAACACTCATATGCTACAAATAAATCAATAAAATTAAAAAATCCATAAAGCTTCAATTAAAAGAAATGTTTAAAAAAAAAAAGCCCAACAATAACAACAAAAACCACTGAGAATAAGCAAACAACAAAACAACACAGCTTATTTTAAAAATCAGAAGGCTCTAAAATGGACATAGGTTAGGGTTCTGCTATGAATTTCTCAACCTAGTTACCCAATTTCAAATACATTATTCATTTATTTAACAACTGCCTGCTTGGTGCCTAGTAAGTGCAAAGATTCCTGCTCTTATTTGTAATCCAATGGAGGATGCAACAATAAATTGTTATACAAATAATAAAAAATGACGAACTAAGGTTAGAAGTAATTCTGATAAAATTCAAGAAAGGATAAAAATTCAAATTACACAAAAATAATCATTAAAGACAAGGTGACCCTAATCCAAGGCAAACACAGAAGACACATTAGCACAATGATGGTAGGTGTCAATCACCTGGACTGTTGTCTCTTGCTGTCATCTGCATTAGAAGTGCCATCTGCTTTCGCTCAGAAAGTGGGTAACCAAAGAGAATGCTAACTGGAGTAGATTTCTTATTTCCAGCTTCTTTTTTTGTTTTCTTCTTTTCTGGACCTTCTTTCTCTGTAATTATGAATAAATATGTAAGAATCTGAAACAACTGTTAAGTATTCAAAACAAGAGCTTTTTTGTTAGATGTTATGCATGCATGTGGGAAATGTACGTAATATATAATCCAGTGGTAGTCAGACAAGAGTATTGGACTTATATAAGCAATATTTTCCTGAAAGCTTCAGAAAAATATATTCTTGATTCTAATGTTTCCAGGCACTTGGAAATTTACTACAAATAACATTTTTATTTAGTGATCTGTTCTATTAAAATTTACTGTCTTTAACAGCAACTCAAATAGTCCTTAAAATAGCCGCCCCCATATCTGCAAAGAATTGGTTCGCGGACAATAAAAGGCAATAAAAGGGCAATAAAACCTGCAAATGCTCACGTCTTGGATAAAATGTAGTGTAGTGTTTCATAAAACGTGCAAATCCTCCAATATGCTTTAAATTATCTCCAGAATACTTATAATACATGCTATAATGCTGATGCTATGTGAATAGGTAGGTATACTGCACTCTCTAGGGAATAAAAACAAGAAAAAATTCTGAACAGTTTTTCCCCAAGTAGTTTTGATCTGTGATTAGTTGAATCTGTTGAAAGCCAACTCTATTACACCTTTGGGCCTTGTCTTTCATGCACTATCATTTTATTACTATTACAGCTAACCCTATATACCAATGTTCCTTCTAATTATTTCTTTAATTCTAGCAATGACTTGTATAATCTTCCAAGAGGCTAAATATTCAAGACAAGTCTCACCACACAGAACAGTTACTAAAGAAAAGCCACCAAATAATTTCATTGCAGTGATGGGAGAGTTGAACATGGAATATTAATCAAAGGCAAAAATAAAAGATTCTGTGTGACTGGGGGTTAACATAGATTCAGCAAAGATCTAAAATTGTCCAAAGTCCTTCTGAGGGAGATCTGACTTATCACATCAGATTTAGCTATTCCGAAAATCCTCTAGAAATGTGGCTAGCATGTCCACAGACTGCACAGTAAGAGATACAGATGCCCTTTGTCTTTAAGGAATTCATCTGATTTAATGATGACACCATGTACAAGAGGATACAAAGATCTGGTTATTATCTACTAGATAACCTATTTTTGGAATTTTAAATTCAGGTTTTGGTAAACCTGCAAAGAGGAGCTACGAAGATAAATAATAAAATTTAAAATTAGTAAAAATGAATGGAAAATAATAGTAAATCTAATATGTTTCAAGAAATTAATTAAATCTAATATTACTAGTATTCCTAAGAATTTAGTGATTGCGCCAGCCTACCATCTTCAGTTAATTAGAATAAACTGGTAACCTAATGGTCTAAAAAACATGAGGCCCTAATACTTTAAACTTTGCTGCTCACAAATTTGTATCTTTCAGTAAACTCCTAACAAGTCCAGTTGTTGAACTTTGATTTTCCAAACAAACCCCAAAATTTCAACTTACTAAAATCAACTTTATTAACACATATTTTATCTTTCATTTTCATCATTTCTATACTGTTATCAGTAATCAGTCACTTTTATAGAAATCCAATCTGGCACAATATTTAACCTATTACTAAAACAATTTTTTTAAAGTCCTAAACAGGCCTTTTGTAGATTTTTTCCCCCTGAAACATAGACTCTTTCTCTTCTTAACAATTCTCTGTAAATTATTGTTTTCTAGTATTTAGGGAGGATCTATAATCACTATTCCTGTTTTTAATGCTTTTTTATCTGATAACAATTTTTAAATATAATGAATGTCTTTCTCTCCTAGAGTTAAAATAGTTAATATTATGAACATTTAATAGAAAGTTTAAAAAAAATGTTTCAAGGAAAAGTAGTAAAACCTGGTAACAGGTGTAAAAACAAAACAAAACAAAACAAAAAAACCCTCAAAATACAGCACTTGCCCCTCTGGGTTATGAGAGAAGGTCTTGCTTTGTAGCCTAGGCTGGCCTCAACCTTGTGATCACCCTGCCTTAGCTTCTGGAGTGCTGGAATTACAGGTGTGAACTACCATACCCGCTGCATTGTTTTCTATTTGCAAAATTACTGATTTTTTTCCTCACATCAGTTTAACATCTTATTTTAAAGATGACACTCTATAGTGTATATACCCGTTATAGAAAAGACATACTTAACCAAATAATCAAATATGTACTTAATACATTTTGAAAAAGAACGAAGTAGATGTATTCCAAATATTTAAACAAAAATTTGTATTAGATGCTTGTACCCAATATGAATTGGTTTTTTTTTCCCTTTGAGTTATCATAATTATCTTTCTGAACCTGCATTTTCCATGATAGGAAAAGAAAGTTAACTGAACACTAGGTGGTGTAAAGTTAGGTAGGTTTGAAATAAAATTGCGCTATTCTTTTTAAAAATATATATATTTTATTTACTTTTATGTGTATGAGTGTATTGCCTGCAAGTATGTGAGTGCACCCGTGTCGTGCAATGCCGCGGAAGTCAGAAAAGGGCTTTAGATTCCCCTGGAACTGGAGTTAAGGACAGTTTGTAGCCGCCATGTGGGTGCTGGGAATCGAACCCGGGTCCTCTGTAAGAGCAGTCAGTGCTCTTAACTGCTGAGCCATCTCTCCAGCCCCCAAATTACACGTCTTAAAAATTGTTAAGCATTAGACTGCTATATTCCAAAGTTTATCTTTTTCACTTTTCTTTTTGTAATTTTTTTTTTTTTTTTTTGAGACAGGGTCCCACTATGTAGCCCAAACTAGCCTGGAACTTACCATACAGCTCAGAAGTCTCAAACTTGTAATCCTTCCACCTCTACCTCCCAAGTGCTGGGGTCCTATGTATGTGCCAGTACATCTGGGCAGCTTTGTCAAATTTAAAACAATGGACAGAGCTACTTGGGATGTATCCTGTGAAATATTTCCTCTTATTAGTCTAAGTTAGAAAGTGATGATATGCTATATATCTAAAAAGAGATAGAGAATGCTCCAGTTATAGGGGTTTGTTTGTTTATAGCTGGGGACTGAACCCAAGGTTTTCTTTCCCACATGCTATATAAGAGCTCAACCACTGAGCTACATCCCAGACCAGCTCTGAGCTCTCCAGTCATTGAAAATCATTCTCATCTGTTCTAATAATGCACCAAATTCAGCACAATCTAACTCAGACCTGAAATTCCACTTAGTCAGTTTTGAGATTTTTAAGGAAACATCCAAGAAATTCACTTAACAGTAATTAAAATAAAAATTGAAGTGGTCTTTACATCAACCCAACTTTCTTTCTTCCTTCTTTCCTTCCTTTTTTACTTTCTTTTTCAGAGCTTCAGAAACACATGTCTCAGTCTCATATTCTGGAAAATTAATGATTTCTTTCTCATTCTTGTTGGAACAAACAGAACACTCACAACATTGTCACCTCCCAAGGGTACAGTGTATTACAGAGAAGAAACAGAACTTTTTCTTGGGAAACTTGGTTCATAAACCTATCAGTGTCTCAAAAATTAAAGAATAAAACATTTCCCAGTAAAATAGTTTCCATGTAAGAAAACGGAGGTAAGTAAACGTGATTAAATCAATCACATTTCAGTATGCATTCATTAATCCCAATTAAAAAATGACCATTATGCTCAGATTCTAAAATATTATGGAACAGGTGAATGAATGCCTGTACCTTGATTTCCAGCAGTGACCCTCTGATCATGAATTACTTCATCACATACAGTACTTTCAGGTATATCTTAGTGCTTAGTAGTCACCTTCGAGAAAGGCATGCTAATTCCACAGTAACACATGGTAAATATAATTCTATCTTCTCCAACTTAACTGGTAATCAGGAACTACTGACTTACCAGATCAATTAATGATTTCATAGTAATTCTAAGGGTGATTATTTGATTCTATCACTACCTCCACACATTTACAAAATAAAAGTGTATCATAAACAGAAGGTTTATTTCAATATTTCAAATTTTTTTTGTTTTTTTTTTTTGAGACAAACTCCCCCTCTAGCCCCGGCTGGCCTGGAACTTGCTGAGTAGACAAGGCTGACCTCCATCAAACAAGAGGTCCACCTGCCTCTGTCTCCCAAGTACTTGGACTAAAGGCATGCACCACCACACCTGGCTTTATTTTACTTTATTTTTTGAGACAGGGTCTCCCTGTGGCCCTAGCTGGCCTGGAATTCACTATGTAGACCAGGCTGACCTTGAACTCACAGAGATCCACCTGCCTCTGCCTTCCAAGTGCAGGGGTTAAAGGCCTGGGCCATCATGCCTGGCTATTTCAATTTTTATAGCTAAATATGGTATGGTGAAAGCTGGAGAAATACCCAGGGACTACGCAAGATTTTCATTTAGAAAAGTTTAGAGAGAGAATGCCAGCCCAATTTAAAAGGAAAGAACAGTCAGAGCAACTAGTCTATTTTTAAATGATACTATTTCTATCTTCTCCGATATTCTTTTATTTCAAGCAATTATGAAGTCCTAGCATTTGGAACCATAGCCAAATAGAAAAGTTCTAACACAATGACAAAGGCATCTGTCCAGGTGATCTGTTATTTTAATTTACTTGTGGTTAAATTCAACATGGATAGCAAAGTCAAAGAAGACTAAAGAATTCAGTATTTTAAAATAAAACCACATGACTAAGAGTAAGATGACACAAGTCTATCAAAACCAGTACAGCTGGTGTACAATGGGAAGGGTTGACAATGAAACAGACCAGCATGATGGGCATCTTCTTAGGAGTCTGTACTGATGCCAGGAGAAGTTGATTTTCATTTTTTTTTTTTTACATGAATGGTGTTCCCACATTGTGATATATAACATCTAAGTGGAAGCTTATAGAAATCCATACTGTGTTCACAGATAGCACATGCTGGATATGCTGAAAAACTGAAAACTTTGGTGGATCCATATAACTCATTTAAACCTACCAGAGATGTCTGGTTGAAAGTAAGTTACTTATAGTACAGCACTCAAATGTAAATGTGACAGAAACCACTAGCTGAAGAGGAGCACCTGATAATCTAATTACCTGAGTATGTCCTGTAAGAAGATATAAGTCTCTCCCCCCAATTTTCACTTGTATGTCCTGGGTCTGAATCTATAGAATGAGAAGAGACAGGAGAAAAGAAAAAGCATACCAAGGGAAAATGCAGAATTCAACAAACCAACATTTTCAGAAGACCATCAGTTAGTTAGACAATGAATTAAAAATTTTTTTTCAAACTATTATTTTTAGGGTAAAACCAAAGTACACATAAACAATGGTTTGATCAACATTTAATATTTCAGTTTCTTTAAATAGACGATCTTAAATTTGAGAAATTTAACCATACAGTATCAATAACAGACATGATGTTTCTTATTAAAATATATCCTCTCTTTTGATGTTACTCTTCAAAATATATCAATAATGTTAAAAGAGGCAGCATTATTATCGCTGGTTTTCTGTTTAGAATTTGTCTTTGAATAAGTTGATAATCAAGTTTATTTTTCCATGAGGGTCAAAACTACCCCAAAGTCAAAGACCATTTAGGACTGTGGCATTACTTTAGACCACAGACCATTCAATAGACTATACACATTTCAAATGATATGAATTGAAGACAGAAAGAAATCAGCCTAAATTATAATTTTATCATATCAAGTAAGACTATGGATTTCTGTCTAACAATTTATGACAGAGAATACTGAGAGTTCTGATAACACAGTCAGAGCAAACATTTTTGCTTTTAAACAATATGTCATTTAAACTCTCAATAGTTTTTATTCTGATATTCATTCTCAACTTATTGATATGTATTTTTCTTTCCAGAATCATTACTGTAGATAGTATTCATGATTTTAGTTAGGTATGATTATTCAAGAATTGAGAAAAAACAAATCAGAGACAAACAATTGTAAATAAACACATTTGAAGTCTAAATACATTAATTTTAACATGCACAAGAATTCCACGAAAAATATCTGACATTTCATATAAAGATAAGCAAAAAAGTTTAGTTTCCATATCAAAGCCAAAAACAAGTGGCAACCAATGAATTGCACTGGTTAAATGAAATATTGAAAGCAGTTCATATTATTTAGACAGATTAAAGCACTATAGAAAAAAATGACCTTTCAATGATATTTACTAATAAAAAGAAGTGTTAGTCACTTAGCATCTTATTTAAGCCTTCTTTTGGAAGTATGCAACTTATTGACTCCATCTGCCCTTTGGCTTTTTAAATTTTTTTGAGATAGGCTCTTATGGAGCCAAGGCTAGCCCTGAATTATGTAGCCAACGCTAGTCTTGAACTCATTATGTAACTAAGGCTGGCCTTGAACTCCTGATCTTCCAACCTTCAAACAGTACATTTACAATGGATTTGGGGGAATTATGTGTTCCACAAAGATTTGCTTCAGGAGTTGGAAAATTAGAGCTTCTGTATCTTGTCCTTTACTACTGTTTTCTAGTATGCTACAGTGAGATTCAGCCGAATGAGACCACTGCCACCCATGGGACTGGCACAGAACATCATGAGCTTGGCAGAACATTCTCTTTTCCTTCTATGTTCTTCATAAGATGAAACAAGCCAATACTTGTAGTTTAAAGGCAATCTTATAAAAGATAATATTCTTCTTCAGGTTGCCACAGAGCAACAGAAAAATAACAAGATAATTTTAAAATCTACACTGTATGTTTAAAATTTTTAGGGATAAAGTTAGTAAAGAGACAAGAGACAACCTGTGGTAAGTCAATGCCATAAAACCACCAAAGTTAGGGCTTGAGAGGCAGCAGAGTGGTAGAGCTCTAGTCTACAGAAGGCCCTGAGTTTGATCTCTAGCATTGTGAGGAACTAAAAGAAAAAAAAAAAAAAAAAACCTCAAAAATACTGTATTTTAAAGTGAGGGCATAGTGGCACACAGCTATAATTTTAGTACTCAGGAGACAGAAGCAGGAGGACCATCACAAATTTTAGGTCAGTCTGATCTACATAGCAAATTCCAGGCCAGCCAGTGCTGCATAGTGAGAACCTGTCCCCCAAAACAAAAAATAAAATAAAAATTATCAAAGACAATTACTATTATTAAATAGAATACTGACTCTGTTACCTTAACATAGTTCTTTTCCAGAAAACTCCAATGTGAATAATTCCCACCCCCTTAAAATTTTTTTGAGAGCTGAGTATGGTGGTACATGTCTTTAATCCCAGCACTTAGAAGGTAGAGAGGCAGACAGAGCTCTTTGAGCTTGAGGCTAGCTTGGTCTATATAGAGAGATCCAGGCCAGTCAAGGCTACAAAGCTGAGACCCTTTCTCAAAAAGGAGAGAAAGAAACAAACAAAAAGCATACAAAATACTGTTTTACAGAGATCCTATGCCCTCTGCCTCCTGAGTGCTGGGATGAAAGGCATGTACCACCACATCTGGCCTAAAACAATGGGTTTTACTATGGTATTGACACAGGTATGTATAATCATACTTCGCTTATATTCACCTCCATTATCTTTCATGGCCCTCCTCCGTTCTTCCCCTTATTCCTCTCACATCACCCTTCTACTTCCATTCTAATAAATATAGAAGTATTTATTAATATATTTAAATCTAGATTCTTCATAATGAAAGGAAATGTGATGTCTCCTCTCTCTCCTTCATTATCCTTTTGTTTTCCCTTCCCCTCCCAAGAGTTCCCGTTCTGCTTTCATCTCATATAGGTATTTATATCAAGATTCCACATACTAGAGGAAACATTTGAGAGTTATAAAACATGTTACTCTCTCCACTTGTTTGAGTCACATTAACATAAATTCTTTAATAACATTTATAATCTCAGGAAAACAGAACTTATAAGGTTGGCTGACAGAGGCTTTATTTATGAAATTTTAACATGCTCTACAATTGCCAGCACAGACTTTGGGAACAGATCAAACTGTGCCTCTTTGAATTTTCTATAGTCACACTGCCTAAAATTGCCAAGAGGAAAAACTACAGTAATCAAATAAATGATGCTTAGGTAAGAGGAAACAATATTAAAGAAATGAGGATCTTTCTAGCTCCTTAAGCAAACAAAAATGATAAAGTACTATTTATTTCTCTGTAAAATATTAGAACTATCAAACATAAAGGAAAAGATGTTTCTCAGATGGAATTCAAAAGCTATATGGCAAATATTTTAAGTCACCTACCAATATTCATGTTCCCCATCTTAGCAGAAATAGTCCAATTATCAACAAAATGACAATATACCATCAAAAGTATTTGGTTTTTAAGATTCTCTGTAGTATAGTACAGTAGACTAATCAATAAAGTTTCTTTTCCTACCTCCCCTAATCCCTCCCCCCCCACTTTTTGGATACAGGATCTCTTTGTAACCCCAGCTGACCTGAAAACTAGCTATATATACCAAGCTGGTCTCAATCTCAAAGAAATTGCCTGCCTGTCTCCTGAGTGCTAGGATTAAAGGCATGCATCACCACACCCAGACAGAAGTATAAGTTTCTAAGTAGGTCATTTCATCAATATAATGGCCAAGCTCATGAGAAGACACTCTTCTCCTTTTGAACAGAAGGTGAAATCTTGTGACTAGGTTCAAAAAAAAAAAAAAAGTTAAAAAGAAAGAAAGAAAAAAAAATCTAGCCTCAACTCATATTACTGAGCAGCTATACCAACTCTGGACTACCTGTGCCTAGCCTTCTCACTGCATTAAATTAGCAAATACTCAGCCACCGCTGATCCCATTTCTGCTGTTAGTATGTCATAAAGTGAACTCATACACTCCATCGCTTAAAGGTCATACTTCTCAGAAGGTGGTGACTATATGCACATGAGGAAATTAAGACTTACTTATACAAAGGAAAAAAATTGAAATTTAAACAAAAGCCAAATAATCTGGTCAGGGCTTAAAGGGAGCTAAGTAGGTACCAACAATGATCAGACACCAAAATCTTTGATGATACACACTACACTATTATTTGCATCTATTATGACTATAATAACTTATCCTGTCAAGCAAGATTATAGAAAGATTAAAAGGAGTTAGAAAGTAAATTTCCAATGCTAAGAATGAGACAAAGAAAGTATGTTAAGTATGAGCAGTGTCTTCCAGAAACAAGTAGCTACTTTTATGCTTCCACAGGTTCAATGTACCACTGTATATAATCACGTCTCAATATTTCATAGGACAGAGGCTGCGGAGATAGCTCAGTTGGTAAAATGCTTGCCACACCAGCTTGAGGACCTGAGTTCAGATCCCCAGCACCTATACAAAAAGTTGGGTATAGCAGTATCAGCCTCCAATCCCAGCACTGGGGAGGCAGAGGTGGGAAGACGCCTCCTGCTCACTAGCCAGCCAATCTAGACAAATCTGCAAGCTCCAGGTTCAGAGACCGTCTCAAAAAATGGAAGCGGGTGGAGAGATGGCTCAGTGGTTAAGAACACTGACAGCTCTTGCAGAGGACTTGGTCTCAGCTCTGAGCACCCCAGTGGCCATTAACAATCATTGATAACTGCAGTTCCAAGGGATCTGACGCCCTTTTCTGGCCTCCATTGGCACTGTACAACACATGTGTACTTATGCAGGCAAAACACTCATACACATAAAATTTTTTTTAAAAACGTGGAAAGCAATTGAACATGACATCAAACATTGGCCTCTGACCTCCACAAGCACTTGTACACATGTGTATGTACACTTACACAAACACATAGACACATACACGCACACATAAAAACACACACAAATATTTCACAGGACAAAATGTTGGGGAATTCTCTTGACAGGATAAGCAATGTAGAATAGATACTGGAATGCTATAAACAGATATACTAGTGACTAGCCGAAATAAGATAATTATAATGAACTGTACTATGATATAGATACAAAGATTCAATGACACTGCTTCAGATTATGCCTTTTCTTTTCCATATTTTATCTGTCTAGTGAGTTACTTTTCTAAAATGCATTGTCTTTTAAAAAATTAACTTCGGGCTAGAGAGATGGCTCAGCAGTTAAGAGCACCGACTGATCTTGCAAAGGATCAGGGTTTGGATCCCAGAACCCACATGAGCTATCCATCCAGTTTCAGGGGATCCAATGCCCTCTTCTGATCTCTGGGGGCATTGCATGACACAGGTGCACTTATATACATGCAGGCAGGATCATGCTATGCAGTCCTGGTTGGCCTGGAACTTTCTCTACAGACCAGGTTGGCTTCAAATTTATGGTGATACTCCTGCCTCTATCTCCTGAGTACAGGGATTATAGGTGGGTACTGTACCATGCCCAGATAAAAAACATTCTTTAAATTCACCAGCATTTTATTTGGTGAGAGCATGTAATATTGTTCTAAGAGAATATTATGAGTTTTTAGATGACATTTTCTTAAAGACATCAGCAACACCTCAATAAATGCAAATAGTAGAAAAGTCATCAAGGAAAATAGTATATAGTACAATCATTAAAATAGGAATTAGAGCAAGGTGTGGTGGCACACACCTTTAATCCCAGCACTCAGGAGGCAGAGGCAGGTGGATCTCTGTGTTCAAGGCCATCCTGGTCTACACAGTGAGTTCTAGGGCAGCTGGGGCTACAGGGAGACCCTGTCTCAAAAAGACCAAAAAATAAAATAAAATAGGAATTAGGTGTTTATTCAAGAGTTCATGTCTTTCTAAGTAACGTTTTCTACTTAATTTTACTCTAAATAAAAGAGAAACAATCTGGCCGATAGAATACAGAGGTTCTAATAGGAAATTTATTATTTTGAAGGCTTATTCCTAAAAAATAGCATTTAATTTACCAAACTTTCTTCTTCAAGGTGGTGCGAAGATTATAATAGCCGATGGATGGGGAGGAGTAGTATGAAACACTGTCTTCTGGACATGACATAACTGTTCTGCTTAAAAACGCGTGGCAGCTATGTTTACATACACAAGATCTACACAAGATCGAGTCAAAATTCTTGCACTGATGACAGAGGAGCTCACAAGGCCCCAATCCTACTGAGGATCTACTTACAGTAGATAGCTGCTGGCAGAGGGGAGAGTCGTTTTTCTTTGGTGATGTGGCCACTGGAAGTTTGCCAAGGTTCTAGTGCATAGCCCATACCCATGTACATTTGGGCAGCACTAACTGCACTCAGTGGGATATATAAAAAAGAGAAGGGGCATGAAGTTGGAAGGTAGAAGTGTTGGAGGTAGGAGATTGCAGGAGAAGTTTGAGGGGGAAATCAAACTACATTGTATACATGCATGATATGCTCAAAGAATAAAAAAAAATACTATAAGAAATATTACTGTCTTTGGGAAATAAAATCTGGAGAATGTAATTCTAAAAATGACCAGCAAAGGAACTGTTAGGGGAAAAGGCAAGACCTTAACTAATTATGTAAGGATGAAGATGTGGTCTGAGCCACTGAATAACTCCACTGCTGTGTGGGTATCACAAGATGTCCTTATACAGACTAAGATGACTCAACATCCTTCTCTATGTGATGCAATCTTTCGAGACCACTGTTATGCATGTAGCCTACTGCTGACTGAAATGATACAACTGGGCACATGACTTAAATTATTGTCTTTTCAGTTATGGTTTCAGAATACTGCTGAAGCATACGGACAGTCATGCTTCAAGGGGAAAAAAGTTTTTGCATCTCTAGAAAAAAAAATACGGTATAACTTAAAATGAACAGAACATAAAATTTCTTAATTTTAAACATTCAAGGTTTTAAAAGGCCATGAGTTTGTTTAAAAACATTATTTTTTTCAATTTAAATTCTTTGGGACTTTGATAAAATGTACTTTGGTTGTATTTACACTGCATTTCTCACCCTAACTTCTCCCAGGTCTACCTACCCTCACCTCCCGAACATTTCAACTCTGCAGCTTTTTTTTTTTTTTTTTAAATAACCCATGGAATCCAACTTGTGCTGCCCTTATACTCCTGGGTGTAGGGCTATCCTAAAACCAATTTTTAATGTAAGCAAAGAGACAAAATACACAAAAGATCTACCTACTAATTGTGTATATTAAAAACTAAGGAATTTCTTGAGCTGAGTGTGATGATGGTACACGCCAGCTACAGGGAGACCCTGTCTAAAAAAAAAAAAAAAAAAAAAAAAAAAAATCATTTTGGTATTGATTTAAGGTTGATAAAAAAAGACCCAAGATAGAAATCTCATGTGTATACTGAGAGTGAAATACTAACTTCCTGTGAGTGAAACTAAAACATTTTCATAAAGTTTATTAATATTTTATGCAAAAAAATGTGTGACAAAATATATAATCAAGCATTCAAGTTTATATTAATTTCAAGAATGACTGGTCTAGTCCACAGGCTTGGTGGTGAGCACCCTTAACTGCATCTGGTGACCCCCATATGTAAGAGTTTTAAGAAACAAAGGTATTGTATGAATAGCACTTAAGCCATTTGTCTCATTTTTGTGGTGGTACATAGTTCTAATTCAATTGTGAATCTAAAATGCCTGACCTTTATTGCTGTGTCCACAAAAACTCAGTATCTTTGTCTCATAAATACAAAATCTCAGTGATGCTTCTTACTGACTGAGCAAATTTTCATTCTGAAATGATCCCCCCAAAATTAAGTTCTGAAAGTACTAAGAGATTTGAAATAAGTATTAAGACTAGGGAACAAAGAAATTTTTAAAAACTAGTCTTTTAAAAATTTGTATGTAGGTACACCTGTGCCATGGTACATGTGTAGTTAGAGAACAATTTGCAAGAGACAACTCTCTCTTTTCATCATCCATGTGGGTTCCAGAGACTGAACTCGAGTCATCAGAGTTGGCAAAAAGTGCCTTCACCCCGAGCCTACCCATTCAATTATCTTGTCTTGCAGGGACCACAAATTGTACAATTTTTATTTTATGTGTTATGAGTGTTTTGCCTCCATGTATACAAGTGCACCCATGTTGGAGGGTATCAGATCTCCTAGAACCGGAGTTAGGAATATTTGTTAGCTGCCATGTGGGTGCTGGGAACCAAACTCGAGTCCTCTGCAAGAGCAGCCAGTGCTCTTAACCACTGAGTCATCTTTCCAGGCCCCCCCACCCCCGACAAATTTTGTTGTTGTTCTTTTTGAGACAGGGCTTCCCTGTAGCCCAGCTGGCCTAGAACTTGCTACATAGACTAGGCTGGCCTGAACTCACAGAGATCCACTGGCCTCTGTCTCCTGAGTGCTGTGATTAAGCATGTGTCACCACACCTGGCCACAAACTGTTTTTTCAATCTCTTATTAGAAACCACACTTTTGTGATAAACTTGTACTTCTATTCCCATATGATAAATCTGAAATACTGCAATATAGTATTTCTCTATAAACCAGAAATTCAAGAGAAATGGTACAAAGAAAAAGAGAAATCACAGTAAGAAAGTGACTTAAAAGTTTATCAGAGAGTAAATGACTATACCTGTGTCTGAGTCTCGTTCCTCATTTCTTGACGGGCTAATGGTAAAAGGAAGTTTACGTTTCATGGATGATTTCTCTTTCATCTCCTTGCCCATATCACTTCGGTCAATTTTTGGAGTTTTGCTGTAAGATGCAATCTTGTCTTTACTCTATTAAAAAAAAAAAAAATCAAAGGTAAATAAAATATCATATTAGGTAAACAATATGGTTTTTATAAAATCCTCTTTATTACGGAAATTTTCAAAACAAAAATAGAGAGGGTAATAAACTATCAATGTATTTGATGTACTTAACTCTTTTTTAGTATTTTATTTTTATTTTATGTATATGAATGTTATTGCCTGCCTACATACAAATACACCTGTATTGTGCAATGCCTGAGGAGGTCAGAAGTGGGTATTGGATCCCTTAGAACTGGAGTTATGGTTATTAGTCGCCATGTGGGTGCTGGTAAATTGAACTCCGGTCCTCTGAAAAAGCAGCCAGTGCTTTTAACGGCTGAGCCATCTCTCCAGTCCCCTGTATTTAATGTACTTAAAGCAGCTTCTGTCAGACATGGTGGTGCATGCCTTTAAACCCAGCATGCAAAATGCAGAGGCAGGTTGATCTCTGTGAGTTCCAGGCTAGCCAGGGCTGCATAGTGAGATCCTGTCTCAAAAAAAGAAAACAAACAACTGAGCTTTAACAATTAAATCCTTCCCTACTCCCTTGCTCTTTGTGAAACAAGATCTCACTTATGTAGCCCAGGCTGGCCTCAAACTCACAGCAATCCTCTAACCTCAGCCTCACAAGAACTGAGATTACAGGTGTGCACTACCACATTTTCCTTAATTATAATATTTTTCCAACTTGTTTCATATTCTCCTGCTTTTACTTAGTAACAGAACTTTAAAGTAATAAAAATATCTTGCATATAACAAAGCATATGTCTAAATATAATCTATATTATAATCTAAATATAATCTATTTATAATTTCAATGAATAAGTATGTAAAGAAGAGAGGGAAGGGCAGAATGAAAAGGAGAAGAGAGGAGGGAAGGGGAGAAGGGAAAGGAGAGGGAGCAAACCACAAGGGGAGAGAGAAAAGAAAATGATAATTACTGGAACAAAGCTTAAATAACTCTAGAGGTTATTTAAATTACAAAAGAATGCTGTTTCATATTTACATCAATAAAAACCTTAAAGCCTAAAATAATGTATACTTTTCCTAGAAAATATGTATCATTAAAAATTGGGTAATGAAAGGAAATGACCATGGAAAACAATAAATCTATAGTTAAAGATTTTTTACAAAGGCATATATGGAGTAATAAGATGGTTTATCACCAAGCCTGACTACCTGAGTTTGATCCCTGGACCCACATCAGAGCAGGAGAGAACTGATTTCACAAGCTGTCCTCTGATCTCCACACCTACATGCAGTGATACACATGAGCAAGTACATATAAACATATAGACACAGACACACACAAAAATAAATGTAAAAGAAATAACAAGAACAAAAGAAAAAACTGCACACAACCAGATGATTATGTTATTTTCCATTCTATATACAACATAAAAATAAAACTGGGGCCGGGCGTGGTGGCGCACGCCTTTAATCCCAGCACTCAGGAGGCAGAGGCAGGTGGATCTTTGTGAGTTCGATGCCAGCCTGGTCTACATAGTGAGTTCCAGAACAGCTGCGGCTACAGAGAGACCCTGTCTCAAAAAGACAAAAAAATAAATAAATAAAATTGGGATTTATTCAATCCATTTTACAAGTATAAAACTGATATTTAAAAAGCACAAGACTTAAAAATTATAGAGAAATGTAAAAAAACTTAAATTGCCAAATCAAATTTATCGTCTTTAGAAAATAACATAGTGAGGGCTGGAGAGATGGCTCAACAGTTAAAAGCAATTGCTCCTCTTGCAGAGGACCTAAGTTCAATTCTGAGCACCCAGATTGGACAGTTCACAACCATCTCTAACTCCAGCTCTAGGGGATCTGACACCTTCTTCTGGCCTCCATGGGAACCCTCACACATGTGGCAGATACACACAGACATGCATACATACAAATAAATAAGCACCCATTATTTTTATTTTATGCGTATGCATGTATTGCCTTCATGTAGGTAAGTGCACCCGTGTCATACAATGCCTGCAGAGGACGGAAGAAGCTGTCAAGAGTCCCTGGAACTGGAGTCACAGACAGTTGTCAGCTGCCATGTGGGTGCTGGGATTTGAACCTGGGTCTTCTGCAAGAACAACCAGTGTTCTTAACCGCTGAGCCATCTCTCCGGCCCCATAAAAATCTTTTTTTTTTTTTTTTTGAGACAGGGTCTTCCTGTAGCCCCAGCTGTCCTGGAACTCACTATATAGACCAGGTTGGCCTTGAACTCACAGAGATCCACCTGCCTCTGCCTCCCAAGTGCTGGGACTACAGGTGTGTACCACCACGCCTGGCAAAGAATTATGAAAGTGAAGGGTTTTTTTGTTTTTTTTTTTTTAATCTTTTTGAGACAGGGTCTCCCTGTAGCCCCAGCTGGCCTGGAACTCACTATGTAGACCAGGCTGGCCTTGAACTCATAGAGATCCGCCTGCCTCTGCCTCCTGAATGCTGGGATTAAAGGCATGTGCCACCACACCCAGCAAAAATAATAAATATTTTTTAAAAAGAGACTTCTTTGATGAGTGGTGAGAAGTATACTTGTCTATGTGGTACTGTAAACACAGCCAAATACACATGGCTGGAGAGTTTTCCTAGCGAAAAACTAGTTTTGCCACATTCATGGATCAACATAATTTCTTACTGTGTTCTAAATACATATCCTTATATTTAGAAGTCATTCTTATTAAACCAAAAAAAAAATCAGGAATATATACACAAATTGAAGTTTTTTGAAAGATACAAATCAAAATGCAAATGAGTCTCTGGGGGCAGGAGTATTAATGGTGTGTGGGGAGCCAACCCCTAATGGTTCTCTGGCATTTTTGTACAACTTCCAAGGAATCTTGTAAGCACATCTTCTGAAGCACTGATTTTCTCTTTCTTGAATTATCTTTTCAAGAATATTGCATTGAAGGACAGCCTTGGAAGACAGATAGTGTTTCCCTCTGGAAAAAAGGAAGAACTGTTTACTGTTCAATACAATAAACAAGTCTCCTTTTAGAGCAAACGTTGGGTTGACTTACTGCTTGCTCATCATGAAAGACTGTGGATCCTGTCTCAATGTCACCCACTGCCCGTGTATGTTCTAATTTGTCCCTCTTTTGCACTCCCTTTATGAAAATGAGGCTCAGGGACCAGTCACAAATGCTAATCCTCTGGCCACTGCCATTGCTTATGAAACTACCTTTCAAATAGGGCAAAAAACAATCTCAGTTCCCTCAAAGTTCTGACAAGGCAATTTCTATTTTCATTATGTTTGTACGTAAGTTTTTTTTGGTAACGAACATGTATACTAGTATAAGAAATAATATATATCATATTTACTTGGGGGGGGAGTAGTACATGTGCACAGCATTCATGTGAAGGACAGAGGACAATTTGCAGGAATTTGCTCTCTCCTTCTATCATGTGGGTTCTCAGGATCAAACTCACATCTTCAAGCCTTGGTGGCAAGCACATTTACCTGCTGAGTCATCTTATCAGCCACAATATGTGCATAATTAGGCAAATTTAAGAATTCCTTGAAAATCACTGGGATACGCTTTACTGATGAAAGGAGGGAGCTATTATTCTATTCAGAAGGTAAAATTAATACCTTCTCAAGCTTTATGAATTTAACCTATATTATCAGATGAGATTTTATAAAAAATAATTGTTTTGTAAATGACAAGTATCAACTTAAAAGCAGGAAAGAAGAAATTTCTAAAATATACTAAAACCGATGTGGGAGAGGTGATCACAGATTAGCAGTAAAAAGTAGAACAGTTGCAAGAATTGTAAGTACATATTCTTCACAAAAAGTCTATTTTTTTTATATTTATTAGTTTCATTTTATGTGGTTGAGTGTACTGCCTGCACATGTGCACCCATGTCACGCAAAGCCTGTAGATGCCTGAAGAGGGTGCCAGATCCCCTGGAACTGGAGTTACAGGCAACTGTTAGCTGCCATGTGGGGTGCTGGGAATTGAACCTGGGTCCTCTGGAAGAACAGCAAGTGTTCTTAACTGCTGAGCCATCTCTCCAGCCCTGAAAACCTATTTTTGTATGTGAGTTAAAGTACTTTATATTAAAAGTAAATTGCAACAGAACACAATTATATGTGTTCTGTTAAATACAAATATATGTAAAAATTTTAAGTGCATTTTTTTATGCGTATGGGTGTTTTGCCTGTGTGTATGTAAATGCACTGCATGGGTATTCGCAGAGGCCAGAAGAGGTCATCTGACCCCCAGGAACTGGAGTTACAGAGTTGTCAGCCACTATGTGAATGCTGGGAACTGAACCAGGAGATCCTCTGCAAGAGCAGTCAGTACTCTTAACCACTAATCCATCTATCTAGCTCCCAAAATACTTTTCAAGACCTATTTATTTATTTTTGATTTTTTGTCTTTTTGAGACAGAATTTCTCTGTAGCCCCAGCTGGCCTGGAACTCACTCTGTAGACCAGGGTGGCCTTGAACTCACAGATATCCGCCTGCCTCTGCCTCCTGAGTGCTGGAATCACAGGCATGTGCCACCATGCCCGGCTTATTTATTTTTGTGTGTATGAGTGTTCTGACTCCAGGTATGTATGTGTACTAGGTGCATACCTAGAGGCCACTAAGACTGGAACTGTGATTATAGATTGTTGTTAGCTGCTCTGTGTGTGCTAGGAATTGAACCAAGGAGCAGAAGCAAGTGCTCTTAACTGCTGAGCCATAGTTCCAGCCCCTGTTTAAATACATTTAACGCTGTGTGTGGTGCCTTTAATTGCTTTTAATCCCAATACTGGAAGCAGAGGCCAGTGAATCTTTTTAAGTTCAAGGCCAACTAGGGCTACATAGTGAGATCTTGATTCCAATAATAATAAAAAATTTAGGAAGATAATTTTGGTTCAGATTACTTAAGATCTCATAACAGCAATACATGACGCTCTAAATGAGGTTGCTACAGAGATTCAGCATATTCATAGTGGTATGGCTGCAGACAAATGTCTTATTTACATAACAAACAACTGTATATTCATTTCTAAAACTTTCAGGGAAATAACTCATCAGAACCCAGAAGCTGCTTTCAACGCCACTTACTAAGGCAATTCAAAGACAGCCAATGTGGTGGTTGCATACCTAAAATCTCAATACTATGGCAGGCAGAAGGAGTTAAAGGCCATCCTTTGTTATTATCGCAGAGAATTAGTTAAATATTCATTTTAAAACTGAAGGATTAGGTGCCAGGCCTGGTGGCACATGCCTTTAATCCCAGCACTCAGGAGGCAGAGGCAGACAGATCTCTGTGAGGTCAAGGCCAACATGGTCTATATAGTAAGTTCCAGGTCTGTTGGGGCTACAGGGAGACTCTGTCTCAAAAAGACCAAGAAAAAACAAACAAACAAACAACCGAAGGAATAGAATAGGGGTGTAGGTGAGTGGTGGAACGGCTGTCTAACATGCATAAAGCCCTAGTTCACATTCCCTAGTACTACAAAGGAACTATAATAAAAGCAAACAAAAACACACACTGAGAGGCAGGGCATGGTGGCACATGCCTTTAATCCCAGCAGCTGGGAGACAGAGACATGTGGATCACTGTGAGATTGAGGTCAGCCTGGACTACATAGTGAGTTCCAGGCCAGCTGGGGCCCCAGGGAGACCTTATCTTAAAAAGACAAAATAAAAAAAAAAAAAAAAAAAAAAAAAAAAAAAAAAAAAAAAAGAGAGAAAAACTCTCACAAACTGATGGGAAACTTTGAGCAAGAGTACTGTCAATCTGCTACGAAATCCAAAAGCATGACCCCATGTGTATTTGCCTTAGAGTAGCTTTTGATTCTTACCAATGTAAATGCAATCTTCAAAAAGTATGGTATAATTAGAGACTGATTACAGTTAAATACATCTTTATTAAACACAGAGTAATAAAGATTTAGTAGTTTAGTTGTATTTATTCTCATACTTGCTTTACATATCTAAGTATTCTTAAGATGATTTTAACAGAAAGAGGCTAGTGGAAAATGTTGGCTTTCTATTTGTCTCTGTACTTTGAAGAAACCACACTTCTGAAGGACTCACAGACTACTTAGTAACAGCTTTCAAAGGATAAATGGCTTCAATGAGTTCAATGTCAAAATTCAAAACCAAAGAGTGATATCAAAATTCAAAACCAGAGTGATAGAGGAATGATCATAAATATAACCACCATATTAAAATTTTTATATAAAAATTTTTAAATTTTTCCCTCACCTCCCAGCATTCATTATGCTCCCGTAATACCATTGAAATTACCCTTATCAATGAGGTCATTTAAGGTATAAATGACCTCCTCTTTCCTAGTAGCGTCCCAGGGGCCCCTGGCACTGCAGATTCCTTCTTCTGCCTCTGTGGAACCTCTGTGTTTTCTGTCCTCTTCTTATCTTCTGCCTCCCCTGAAATATCTAAATTCCTCAGTCTATCTTCCTCTATTCTTTTTCTGTTTTACACATTCCATACCTACAGCTTATTTTTCTACAAATCCACATGTATTTATTTTAATATAGACTTCCATTAGGATTTCTACTTCAATGTTCTGATAGTCAACAACAAATATAAGCCAAATATAACTTCAAAATAATTTTTCTCCTGAACATCCTCACAAGGAACTTGGTTATCCACAACACAAATCTCAGAGAAGGTCCAGGCCACTTTTTCTACATATATTAAATTTAATTCATTCAACATCTTGTAGACAGGCCACTTCTCTCCATCTTCAACAAAACCAATGCCCACACTGCCTCTTGCTTAGATTTTTAAAAATAGTATGCTAATGTCTTCTTGGCCCTTCCATTCTAGCTCACTGACTGTGGACTAATCCAAGAGCCATTAAGAACTGGCTCCTGTCTGACGCTACCGACTCATCTCAATCCAAATGTCCTCCTGGGATACATCTCAATTTAGTATGAACCACCTTCATGTCACCTTCTCATTTCCCGTTTCTTTTCTTTTATCTGTCTTTTACTTCCTCTTTCCTGTGGATCAAATACCTAGCCTTGAGAATCCAGATTTAGCTCTACATAGGAAGCTAAATATATAAAAGTCAACTATTTCTGTTAGCAAAACAAATTCAAAATGAAATGATCTACAATAGAACTGCAAAGAATAAAATACTTAGGAATGATTCAACAACAGAAGGAAACTTTTATATGGAAAACTATTAAGGCATTGCTGAGGAAAACTGAAAAGGATCTAAACGGAAAAACACTATGTTTTCAAAGACAATACTGTCAAAATAACATTATACATAATGATCTAAAGATTCATTATATGGATTCTATCAAAAGCCCACCAGGGTTGGTGAGATGGCTCAGTGAAGGGGATTTGTCACTGAGCCTAAGGACCCGAGTTCTATATCCCGAACTCACATGGTGGAAAGAGAACCAACTCCCACAAGTTGAGTCTCTCTCTCTCTCTCTCTCAATCCCCCCCCACACCCACACACAGACACACAGACACACACACAAAGTGAGTTAGTTTAAAAAAAAAAACAAAATCACAGCAGGCATTCTGCAGAAACTGAAAGCATAACTCTAAAATTTGTATGGGGATGTTAAGGGCTCTAAATAGCTAAAATAACTTGAAAAAGAACACAGTTTGAAAACTTATACTTGAGCTTTGAAAGCTGATTTGAAGTTGTCTGCATTTAAGGTAGCAATGGAGACTAACTACAAGCAGATAACACGATCTTTTCCTAATAATGGAAAATTTCTAAAACTGGATTTCAATGATGGCTGCACAAATCAATTAGCTAAAAACTGACAACATTTCAGATTTCCTTCAATAAGGAAAATGTCTTTAAATTTTTTTTAGAAGACTTAAAGAATAAAACAAAAAATTCAAAGACAACCAGGCTAGTGATAGAGTCCAATTAGGTAACAAGTACAGAAGTCTAAAGGAAGATTCTGAACAGCTAAATTAAACAAGAATGGAGGACACATGTAGAAAAGAAACACAGGCCATGGCAATGACTTATAGAAAACTACTAACATTTACTAAGCATGTACAATGTACTAAGCATTGTATAAAGCATAATATTTCATTTCATGTGTATGAATGTTTTATCTGCATGTATGTATTGTATGCAGCACATGCATACAATGCCCACAAAGACCAGACGAGGATGTTGGATTCCCTGGAACTGGAATTATGGACAATTGTTAGCTGCCATGTGGGTGCTGGGTATCGAACCCAGATAATCTTAACTCTAGCTCCAGGGGAATTCGACATCCTCTTCTGACCTCGGCATTGCACAACACAGGTGCACTTACATACATTTTGTCAAGACATTCATACACATAAAGTAAAAATGATAAATATTTTTAAAAATTCAAATGAATGTGAAGTCTAGTACCTTGTCCCCCTTACTAATGACTAACCACTTCTTAACTATACAATGTACAATCTTCACTATCATGTTTTTAAATTTTATTATTTTTATTTTATGTGTATGAGTATATTGCCTGCATGTATGTGACTGCACCTGTGTCATGCAATGCCGCGGAGGTCAGAAGAGGGCTTCAGATTCCCCTGGAACTGGAGTTAAGGACCGTTCGTAGCCGCCATGTTGGCTGCAAGAGCAGTCAGTGCTCTTAACCACTGAGCTATCTCTCCAGCCCCTTCATTATCATGTTTTATTCAGAAATTGTATTCATCAGGGAATGAAACACAATTGTATCCTCAGAACTCCAATGTGTTTCCAAAAGCTTTAGATGTTTTGGATTTACCTGGTGGTATAGTTTGCAATGTTCCCCAAAGACAGATGTTAGAGGCTTGGTCCTATGCTTGACAATATTAAGCAGGAGGACCTTTCAGAGATTAGGCCTTGTGGGACATCCTTAAGATTACTGGAGGTGTGACCCTAAAGGGGGCAGGAGCAATCAAACTCTTCTCATCTTAATTCCAGCTTCTGGCCAAGAGGCAACGGACTTCACTCACCATTGATCCATGCTATGATGATATGCTGCTTCAACACAGACCCAAAAGCAAAATGCCCAAGTGACTAGACTAAAGCTCCGAAAACTGTAAGCCCAGATAAATCTTTCCTCTTTACAAACTACCTCCATGATTTGTTACAAAAACAAAAGACCAATACTTTGATATCCATGTTATATTTTATGAGTAATTACTAAAAATCTTTTGCCCCTAGTTTTGAAAGAGTAAAAGAAAAACCTTCAGTTATATACCTTTCTTCCATATGGTTTCTCTACCATATTGCTGTCACTGTCAGAATTTTCACTCTGAACTGGTTTTGTGAACCCAGATTTGGGCATTTTATAGCTGTTCAGCTAGCTTCTTCTTTCATCAGTTTTCTCATCCTGGATCTGTAAAGAACAGATATGCAAAGGTTATTTGTAGATATGTATAACAGAACCTAAAGTTTATGTGCCACAATTAATACAATTTTGTTTCCTTGGTTCCTGTAAGATTTTTTTTTTTTCCTCAGAAAGGCTATCCTAAGTTTTCACTTAATTTGAGTTTGTAACTAATGTCCTCTTGTTCAAGTCCACTTAGCTTGTCAATGGAAAAAAGAATTATTTTTATACTTCTACTTTCTCTAAATTACTAGTATCTTTAGCTTTCTGGATATCTACAAACAGCAGCAGTAGGAAGCAGTGGCAAAAGGTTTCTCACTCCAGTTATGGATCCAGACATGGGAGCTTCAAGTAAGTTCCTTGTACTCAAAACCTGATAGATGTGATAAATAATTTTACATATAATTTCCTTTTTTTAAACAACTAATTCCCTATATTAAATTCATGCTATATAAAATCCCTGTAGTTTCCTTTCCTTCACTGAACACTCACAGCCATTTAGTAATTTTATCACACTACTGATATAGTTGTGTTGGACTGGAAAAATCGCTTTATATAGCATTGTTTTTCTCATTTGTTCAACCTTCTCTCTCCTAACTGCACATTGTGCTCAACAAGGAGCCTTCCAGAAGCTTGTGCTAATGGCAAACATGTGCTTGAGAGAACCAGCAAAAATTGTCAGGAGGCTTTAAATATTAAAGAGAAAGTCATGAGTCCAAATCTGCTTTGCTCTCTGATAATCTAATAGCCACATGCAGCTATTTAAATTAATATGAATAAGACAAAAATTACAGTAGCTATTACAGCATACAGTATAGGTATACATTTATATTATTGTAGAAAGCTTCATTACATAGCACGGGGCTAGATTAAGGCTTCTGGCCAAGAGGAGGAGCATTCTTAAACCACAAAAGAATAAGAAATCTGACTGGCAAGCTTACTTTTAACTCCTTCATTCAATTAATTTCCTGTATCACAGGTCTTAAATAACCTGCCACTTTAGTACCTTATGTGAATTACTATAACTCAAGACATTTTTCAATGGGGTATTTAGTAAAGTCTGCTATGTCTACAAATTGTGCTGCTGATCTGCAGAGAGCACCAATAGAATGTATTTAGTTCCAGGCCCATGCAAACTATAAATATTAAAACAAAAATCAAAAGCACACTAGAGGGTCAGAGAGATGGCTCAGTGGAGAAAGGCATTGACTGCCAAGTCTGACAATCCAGGGTTTGAACCCCGAGTCTCATGTGGTGGAAAGACTTGACTCCCAAGAGTTGTCCTTTTGCCAAGTGCACACCTGTGGCACAGACACAGAATAAATAAAACTGTAATTTAAAAAATTTAAAGCAGGGGGCTAGAGAGATGGCTCAGTGGTTAAGAACACTGACTGTTCTTGCTGGGTTTGAATCCCAGCACCCACATGGCAGCTAACAACTGTCTGTTACTCCAGTTTCAGGGGATCTGAGAGTCTCTTCTGTCCCTGTGGGTATTGCATGATACGGGTGCACTTACAGACATGCAGGCAATGCATGCATACACATAAAATAAAAATAATAAAGTATTTTTAAAAAAGAATGAAAAAAAATTTAAAGTACACTAGATAATTAAAATGGAATATTTAAACAAAAAACACTGTCAATGGGACCTGGCAAGATGGATCTAAGGGTAAAGGTACTTGCAGCTAAGACTGAGCTCAATCCTGGAACCCAGGTGGTGGAGAGAACTGACTTCCACAGTTGACTTCTGATCTCCACATGCGTTATTAATGCTCTTATTATACACAAGAAGCACACATACATGCACAGGCATACAATCATCAATAAAATTAAAAAAAAATGCTGCCAAGGGAAATGGGAAAATAGTTCAGCAAGTAAAAGCACTAGTGGTACAAATTTGATGATTAGAATACAAAATTCCCAAAATCCATGTAAAAAGATGGATGTGGTGGCATGCATCTGTATCCCAATGCTATATAGAAGGGTCACAGAGACAGGAGAATCTCCTAGAAGCTCACAGGCCAGCTAGCCTCGATACATAGCATGGCAGAAAAAGGGACGTTGCCTCAACAAGGCTTAAGAACCGAACAGTTTCCTGAGTTACACTCTGTCCTCCATACAAGCAGCGTGCCTCAGGTGTACCTGCACTCACACGAACAGACACATGCACAAATAATAAATTCATTAAGTTTTAAAAACTTGCCAACAAGGACTGGGGATGTAGGTTACAATTACAGTCCTCACCTAGCATGTATTAGGTCTTGTAACTCAATCAAAACAAACCAAACCAACAAAAACAAAAACACAACACACTTATAAAAAACTGCCACGGCTCAAATCTTTCCTCTTACAAAAGAGGAAACAAACTTGAAGAAAACAAGGAAGTTTTTGTGGAGTTTTTTTTGGAAGGGGGGCACTACACATGAGAGAGAGTGTATCGGGCCACCCCACCAATTAGATTGCCATGTGAAGAGAGGCTTTTAAAACAGAGCACTTTCAGCCCGGTGTGGTAGCACATGCCTTTGCACATACCTTTAATCCCAGCACTTGGGAGCAGAGGCAGGTGGATCTCTGTAAGACTGAGGCCACTCTGGTTTACATAGTGAATTCTAGTCCAGCTGGGGCTGCAGGAGACCCTGTCTCAAAAACAAAAAACAATCAAACAAAAAAAAACCCAAAACCAAAACAAATTTGACAAATGAGGTTTCATGATATTAAAAAGCTTCTACACAGCAAAGGAAATGATCAGCGGAGTGAAGAGACAGCCCACAAAATGGGAGGTCTTTGCTACTATTACTTATGATGCGGGATTAATACCTAGAATGTATGAAGAACCTAAAAAATTACCTCCATCACCTCAAATCACAATGCATCCCACCAATAAATATGTAACTGAAATGAACAGATTATAAAAGACAAAATACAAATGACTAGGAAATATGTGAAATGTTCAACATCCTTAGCCATCAGAGAAATGTAAATTAAAATTACTCCAAGATTCCCTTTTTCCTATCAGAATGGCTATCATCAAGAAAACAAGGAAGGTCAAATGTGAGAAGGATGTGGGGAAAGAGGAAATGCATACAACGCTGGTGGGTAGTCACTAGGGAAATCAGGGTAAAGGTTCCCCCAAAAAACTGAAATGAAAACTACCATACAATCCAGCTATACTGGCTATATCGCTTCAGGGTAAACATCTGAAGGAATCCAAGTTAGCATAACACTGAGATATCAACCCATGTAGGTTTACTGCTGAACTATTCACAATAGCCAAGATATGGATTCAACATAGAAGTCTATCAACAGGTAGCTCAAGAAAGCACAGTATATACACAACAGTTTTATTCAACAATAAAGAAATTGGGACTAGAGAGAAGGCTCAGCAGTTAAGAGCACTGGCTGCTCTTACAGAGAACCTAGGTTGGGTTTCTAGCACCCATAGAAGAGCTAACAACCTGAAACTCCAGTTCCAGGGGATCCACACGGGTGCACTTACATACATGCAGGTAAACACTCATACACATAAAAATAAGAACAAATTTTAAAAGGTTTATTGTAGCAGGAGGCCGCCAAAGATGGCGCGGACCCAGAGCCCTGGGATTCAGCGAGAATTCACTTCACTTCTTGGTCTGCAAATAGCCAGCCAAAAGGAGCCCACGCCTCTGTACCCTGCTCGGGAGACCAGTGACTGCTGACAGACTGCGTGGCGCAGACCAATCAGAAAACGATACACTGACTAAAGGGACTTGGAGGTGGAGAAAAGGGAAATGTAAGGCCTGCCCCCTCCTGCATTAAACGAGCCTACAGTACCTCGCCTAGTGCTTGCTTCTACCAGACTCCTGGAGTCTGTGTGTTGTGACTCCATGCCTCTTGGCCCCCCAATTGGCAGGGGACCCGATCCAGGTTAGGGTCTTCACAGCTGGCCTGAGGACTCCTGCCCACGGTGTTGGCGACACCCAGAACCTCGGTTCGTTCGGTAAGTAGGCCCCTGGATTTGTCTGTTTCTTCGGCTGCTTGAGGGTAAGCGAGTAGCCCCCTCCTCTGTTCCCTCCACTGTGTCTCTAGTCTTTATTGTTGGATTAGTTTGTTAGATCAGGGAGGCACACTCTGCCACGTGGTCCCGAAGCCCATGTGGGCACCTCTCCCCTCTCGGCTGTCCTGGTGAGTTCACATAAGGGCTGATCCACCCTGAACTCAGAGCCCAGGCTTCGGGTCACTCTGTTGCCTGTCCCAGAGACACCGTGTAAGCATACGGCTGGAGGTGTCACAGCCTCCAGAAGTCCCTCACTGAGCACAAGACATTTGAATCAGATACACCTTTACATGTCTGGGCGGTTTACATAGGACGGTTTACATCCGAGTGGCTCACAGTGCTTCTTTGCTTCCTTTGTGCCCTCTTGCTAGTCACCCTCATCTTCTACTTTTGTGGTGAATTCCGCTTCACAAGACCCTCCCACAATGGGAAATTTACCACCACAATGCAGGGAACCACAAACGGCAGAACTCAAGGTGCTCCTTAAAACCAGAGGGTTGAAAGTGAAACCAAAAGATATCGAACACTTTTGGGATGAAGCCGCTAATTTGGCTCCGTGGGTCTCCCCTGAAAACATGTGGGACCCTGACACGTGGATGTGGGTCCTCTTCCTGGCCCGAAAAAGGGACGTTGGGTCAGGGATCACTCCCTGTGCATCATTTGTACCGATCCTCCAAGCCATCACTGCTAGCCTTAAATCCTCCTCTCCTGAGGAAGTCATCTCGGCCCACAACAAACACTGCCAGGAGCAATCTAGTGTAGATCTGGCTATTACCTTGACCCCGGACCTCCCAGACCCCCCAGACCCAGAGGTGAATGCAGCCTCTGCGCCCACTTCCAATAAGGAAGGAGCTCCTTTGCCTATATCTCAGGATACTCTCCTAGAGCTACCACGCCCAGAAATTCCCCCGACCCATTACCCATGGAAGGAGTTACCCTCTCCCCCCACCAATAACTATCATGCCTCTTCCCCTGC